CCTGCGGTGCGGGCGGGGGCAACAGTCTCGCAAGCTGTGTCAAGGCCACCAGCTGCAGTGCCGGCAGTGGCAACAGTCTCGCAAGCTGCGCCAAGGCCACCAGCTGCGGCGCCGGCAGTGGCAACAGTCTCGCAAGCTGCCCCAGGGCTAGGGCCCGCGGCACCAGCAATGGCAAAAGGCTCGCAAGCTGCCCCAGGGCCCGTGGCGCTGGCGTTGGCAAAAGTCTCGCAAGCTGCACCAGGGCTAGGGCCCGCGGCGCCGGCTGTGGCAAAAGTCTTGCAAGCTGCACCAGGGCTAGGGCCTGCAGCGCCAGCAGTGGCAAAAGTCTCTCAAGCTGCTCAAGGGCCTGCAGTGCCAGTAGTGGCAAGAGTCTCGCAATCTGCCCCAACACTGGGGCCTGTGGTGCCGGCAGTGGCAAGAGTCTCGCAAGCTGCTCCAGGGCCTGCGGTGCTGTCATTGGCAAGAGTCTCGCCAGCTGCCCCAGGGCCGGGGCCTGCGATGCCGATGTTGGCAAGAGTCTCGCCAGCTGCCCCAGGGCTGGGGCCTACGGTGCCGGTGTTGACAAGAGTCTCGCCAGCTGCCCCAGGGCCGGGGCCCATGGTGCCTGCGTTGGCAAGAGTCTCGCCAGCTGCCCCAGGGCCGGGGCCTGTGGTGCCGGCGTTGGCAAGAGTCTCGCCAGCTTCCCCAGGGGCGGGACCTGCTGTGCTGGCATTGGCAAGAGTCTCTCCAGCTGCCCCAGGGCCAGGCCTTGTGATGCCGGCAGTGGCAAGAGTCTCGCCAGCTGCTCCATGGCTTGCAGTGCCAGCAGTGGCAAGAGTCTCGCCAGCTGCCCCAAAGCCAGGGCCTGTGATGCCGGCAGTGACTAAAGTCTCAGAAGCAGTCCTAGGGCCGACTCCTGTGGCACCAGCAATGGCAAAAGTCTCAGACACTGCTCCTCATCCTACAACACTGGCAGTGGCAAAAGTCTCCGAAGCATCCCCTGTGCCTCGACCTGTGGCGCTAGCCATGGCAAAAGTCTCGGACACTGCCCCACAGCCTGTGGTGCCGGCAGTGGTAAAAGTCTCAGAAGCTGCCGCAGTACCTCGACCTGTGGCACTGGCAATGACAAAAATCTCCGAAGCTAGCCCAGGGCCTGCACCTGTGGTGCCAGCAGTGGCAAAAATCTCTGAAGCTGCCCCTGGACTTGGACCTGCAGAACAGGGTGTGGCAAAAAGCTCAGAAGCAGACCCAGGGCCTGGACCTGCAGTGCCAGCAGCAGCAAAAGCTTCAGAAGCTGTCTCAGGGCCTGTGGCACCGCCTGTGGCAAAAGGTGATGACACTTCAAAAGATGACAAAGCACGTGGGAAAAGCACCCACAAGAGCAGTGATAAAAATAAACAAGATGCAAAAAAAGCAAAGAAGAGTCGATCTAAATCTCTTTCCAGATCACGAAAGCGGAGAAAAAAGACAAGGTCACGCTCTACTTCTAGGCAGGTTACCTCTAAAAGAGCAAGTTCTAGGAGCAGGAACCTCTCAGATTCTCGGAAAAATCATTCTGCATCACATCGCAAATCCAGATCTCGGTCTGTTGAAAGAAGGGATCCCAAAGAGTCTTCAAGGAGATCAAGACACAGACACTCCAAGTCTTCTGATCATGATGGGTCTCGATCCCGGTCTGCAGAAAAAAGAGATCGTAATGAGTCTTTACGGAGATCCAGACGCAGACGTTCTAGATCATCTGAGCGCTACAAATCTAGGTCAAGATCTGTTGAAAGAAGAACTCGTGCAGACTCTCCATGGAGATACAGATGGAATCGTTCCAGGTCCTCAGATCGCTACAAGTCTAGATCAAGATCTGTTGAAAGACGAGGTCGAAGAGATTCCCCTTGGAGATACAGGCGCAATCGCTCCAGGTCCTCGGATCGCTCCAAGTCTAGATCCCGGTCTCTGGATAGAAGAGGTCGCAGATACTCTCCATGGAGGTATAGGCGCAATCGCTCTAGGTCTTCAGATCGTTCCAAGTCTAGATCCTGGTCTGTGGATAGAAGAGGTCGCAGAGACTCTCCATGGAGATATAGACGCAATCGTTCCAGGTCTTCAGATCGTTCTAAGTCTAGATCCCGGTCTCTGGATAGAAGAGGTCACAGATATTCTCCTTGGAGATACAGGCACAATCGCTCTAGGTCTTCAGATCACTCTAAATCTAGATCCAGATCTGTTGGAAGAAGAGGTTGCAGAGACTCTTCACGGAGGTCGAGACGTAAACGCTCCAGGTCCTCAGATCATTATAAGTCTAGGTCCAGGTCACTGGGGAAGAGAGATAGAAAGGAGTCTTCTCGGCGATCTAAACATAAACGTTCCAAGTCTTCGGACCGTTACAAATCTAGGTCTAGATCTGATGGAAAAAGAGGTTGCAGAGACTCTTCACAGAGGTCGAGACGCAGACGTTCCAGGTCCTCAGATGATCGTTACAAGTCTAGATCCAGGTCTGTGGGCAGAAAAGAGAGGAAGGAATCTTCACGGCGGTCTAAACGTAAACGCTCCAAGTCCTCTGAGCATTATAAATCTAGATCGAGATCTGTTGACAAAACAGGGGGCAAGGAGCCTTCACAGAGGTCTAAACATAGACGATCCAGGTCTTCAGCCCATTACAAATCTAGATCCAAATCTCTTGACAAGCGGCAGGGCAAAGTGTCATCACAGAAATCTGAAAGTAGACGCTCAAAGTCTTCTGAATGTGACAAACCTAGATCTAAATCTGTTGAAAAAATTGAAGGCCAGAAGTCTTCAGTAGAGTCCAAAAATAGATGCACTGAGCTTTCTGAAGGCCAAGAGTCAGGATCCAAATCTGTTGAAGAAATGGGAGGCCCAAAATCTTCATTGGAGTCTGAAGATAGATGCTCTGAGCTTTCTGAAGGCCAGGAATTGGGATCCAAATCTGCTGAAGAGGTGATGGGCCCAAAACCTTCATTGGAATCTGAAAATAGATGCTCTGAGCTTTCTGAAGTCCAGGAGTCAGAATCTAAATCTGTTGAAGAAACAGGGGGCCCAAGACCTTCAGTGGAGTATGAAAACAGAAGCTCTGAACACTCTGAAGGTCAAGAGTCAAGATCCAAATCTGTTGAAAAAATAAAGCACCAGGAGTCTTTGGTAGTGCCTGAAGCTAAACTCTTAGACTCTTCTGCAGGTGGTGAACCTAGATCTGTAGCTGTTGAAGAAATTCAGGAGCCTTTATTGAGAACTGAAAATACACACTCGGAGTTTCCTGTATGTGAAGGACTTAATTCTGAATCTGTTGAAAAAATAGAGGGCCAGCAACCTTTGACCTCTGAAAGTATGTACTCTGAGTTTTCTGAACACAATGGACCTAGATCTGAATCTGTCACAAAGTTAGAGAGCCTGATACCTTCAGTGGGGTCTGAAAGTATGCACCCCAAGTCATCTGAATGTGAAAGACCTATATCTAAATCTGTTGAAGAAATAGACAAACAGGAGCTTTCACTAAGCTCTGAAAATAGGTGTTCTGAACCTCCTGAGCACCACAAGTCAAGACCTAGTGCTGTTGAAAAAATAGCAAGTGAGGAGTCTTCCCTGAGGTCTGATAGTGTATGTTCTGAGCTTCCTGAATGTGACAGACGTGTACCCCAAGTACTTGAAAAAATGGAAAGCCAAGAACCTTTGCTGAAACCTGAAAGTAAACTCTCTGAATCTCCTGAACCTGAGAGAGCTAGATCTAAATCTGGTGATAAAAGTGAGAGTTGGGAGCCTTTAGTGGGGTCTGAAAAGTCTTCTCGCCAGATTTGGATTGTGCCTTGTGATGTTCAGAAAACAAAGGTACAGGAGACTTTCCTAAGGTCTGAAATCATATACTCTGAGTCTCTGGTGCCTGATGAACCCAAATCCAAATCTATTCAAATAACAAAGAGGCAGGAAGCTTTGCTGAGCTTGGAAAGTGGACCCCTTGAATCCTGTGAAGACATTGAACTGAACTCCAAGTCTGTGGATAAAATAGAGGAACGGGAGCTTTTGCTGAGCTCTGAAAACAGATCTCCTGAATCTGCTGAAGGCCCAAAACTGATGTCTGAATTTGTGGAAAAAATAAGGGAACAGGAGCTTTCCCCAGAGAGCAGAATCCCTGAATCTGGTGAAGGCTTTGAACCTAGATCTCAGTCTATGGGAAAAATGGCAGCTCAACAGTCTGCTCTGACCTCTGAGTGTAGACCCCTTGAATCTGGTAAAGACCTTGAGCTGAAGTCTGACTCTGTGAAAATCATAAAGGTATGGGAGCCTTTGCTGAGCTCGGAGAGGAAAGCCTTTGATTTTAGTGAAGGTCTCGACCTTACATCTGAAGCTATGGAGAGCATAGAGGCACAGGAGAATTTGTTGAGCTCTAAGAGCGGACCTCTGATGAAGAAATCTGGTGAAGGCCACAGTCTGAGGTCTCAGTCTTTGGAAAGCAAATTGGTACTGGAGCCTTCACTGAACTCTGAAAGTGGACCACTTGGATCTGATCAAAACCTTGAACCCAGATCCGAGTCTATGGAAAAATTAGAGGGACAAGAGCAATGGTTGAGCCCTAGGAGTACAGCCCTTGAATCTGTTGAAGGCCTTGAGCTGAGATCCAAGTCTGTGGAAATCCAGGAAGCAGAGGAGCCCTTGCTGAGGTCTGAGAGCAGACTCAACTCTGGTGAAAGTCTTGAACTGAGGTCTGAGTCTGTAGGAAAAATAGAAGTACAGGCATCTACCCTGAGCCTTGAGACTGGAATCCTTGACTCTAGTGAAAGCTTTAAACTAAGATCCATGTCTTTTGAAAAAATAGAGGGACAGGAAGTTGCTTCTGAGAACAGATCTCTTGAATCTGGTGAAGACCCTGAAACAAGGTCCGAGTCTGTGGAAAAAATCAAAGAGCAGGTGCTGTCACTGAGTCTTGAAAATAGACCCAAGGAAACCAGTGAAGGCCTGGAACCCATGTCTGAATTTGTGGAAAAAATAGAGGAACAGGCGCTGTCATTGAGCTCTGAAATCAGACCCTGGGAATCTGTTGAGGGCCGTGAACCCCTGTCAGAGTCTGTGGAAAAAATGGAGAGACAGATGCTGTCTCGGAGTCCTGAAAGCAGAATCTGGACATCTCATGAAGGCCTGGAACCCACGTCTGAGTTTGTGGAAAAAACTGTGGAACTGGAGTTGCCTCTGACCTCTGAAAGCAGACCACTGGAATCTGGTGAAGGCATTGAACTGAGACCTGTGTTTGTGGAGAAAATTGAGGAACAGGTGCCATCATTGTGCTTTGAAAGCAGACCTCTTGAATCTGGTGAAGGTCTTGAATCAAGGTCCAAGTCCATGGAAGAAATTGAGGAACAGCCACTGACATGGAGCTCTGGAAGGAAACCCATTGGATGTAGGCTTTTAGAGCAAAGTGGGGAACTAGGGCGGTCACTGAGCTCTGAAAGGAGACTCCTGGAATCTGGTAAAGGCCTTGAACCAAGGTCCAAGTCCATCGAAACTGAGGGACAGATGCCACATTGGAGCCCTGAAAGGAGACCCCTTGAATCTGGCAAAGACCTTGAACTACAGCGTGAATCAGTGGAAGAAATTGAGGAGAAGGGACCATCAGCAAGCCCTGAAAGCAGGCACCTTGATTCTTGTGAAAGTTTTGAGCTGTTGTCCCAATCTGTGGAAGAAACTGAGGAACAGACGCCACATTGGAGCCCTGAAAGGAGACTCCTTGAATCTGGTGAAGGCCTTGAGCTGCCATCTGAGTCTATAGAAGAAACTGAGGAACATGTCCCATCCCTGAGCCCTGAAAATCGACCCCTTGCATCTGGTGAAGGCTTTGAACTGCTGTCTGAGTCCATGGAAGAAATTGAGGGACAGGTGCCATCACTGAGCCCTGAAAGCAGACCTCATGAATCTAGTGAAGGCCTTGTTCTGCCATCTGAGTCCATGGAAGAAATTGAGGAACGGGCGCCATCACTGAGCCCTGAAAGAAGACCCCTTGAATCTGGGAAAGGCCTTGAGCTGCTGTCCGAGCCCATGGAAGAAATTGAGGCACGGGTGCCATCACTGAGCCCTGAAAACAGGGCCCTTGAATCTGGCACAAGCCTTGACTTGCCATCTGAGTCCATGGATGAAATTGAGGGAAAGATTCTGTCACTGAGCCCTGAAAGCAGATCCCTTGAATCTGGTGATGGTCTTGAACAAAGGTGTGAGTCCTTGGAAGAAATTGAGGAGCAGGCACTATCACCGGGTCCTGAAAGCAGACCCCTTGAATCTGGTGATGGGCTTCAGCTGCTGTCCAAGTCAGTGGAAGAAATTGAGGGACAGGTACTGTCACTGAGTCCTGAAAGCAGATCCCTTGAATCTGGCGAAGGTCTTGAACCAAGGTCTGAGTCAGTGGAAGAAATTGAAGGACAGGCGCTGTCACCAAGTCCTGAAAGCAGATCCCTTGAATCTGGTGAAGGTCTTGAACCAAGGTCTGTGTCTGTGGAAGAAACTGAGGAACAGGCACTGTCACAAACTCCTGAAAGAAGACCCTTTGAATCTGTTGAAGGGCTTGAATTGCTGTCTGAGTCTGTGGAAGAAATTGTGGGACAGGCATTGTCACTGAGCCCTGAAAGTAGATCCCTTGAATCTGGTGAAGGTCTTGAACTAAGGTCTGAGTCTGTGGAAGAAACTGAGGAACAGGGGCTGTCACTGAGTCCTGAAACCAGACCCCTTGAACCTAGTGGAGGCCTTGAGTTGCCTTCTGAGTCTGTGGAAGAAATTGCAGAACGGGCATTGTCACTGAGTACTGAAAGTAGATCCCTTGAATCTGGTGAAGGCCTTGAACCAAGATCTGAGTCCTTGGAAGAAATTGAGGAACAGGCCCTGTCACTGAGTCCTGAAAGCAAATTTGTCGAATCCAGCAAAGCTCTTGAAGTGCCGCCTGAGTCTATGGAAGAGATTGAGGGACAGGTTCTGTCACTGAGCCCTGAAAGCAGATCCCTTGAATCTGGGGAAGGCCTTGAACCAAGGTTTGAGTCCGTGGAAGAAATTGAGGAACAGGCGCTGTCACCAAGTCTTGAAAGCACAACCTTTGAGTCTGGTGAAGGCCTTGAACTGGCATCCAAATCCATGGAAGAAACTGAAGGAAAGACACTATCACTGAGCCCTGAAAACAGAGCTCTTGAATCTGGTGAGGGTCTTGAGCTGAGGTCTGAGCCTGTGGAAGAAACTGAAAGACAGGTATTGTCACCAAGCCCTGAAAGTGGACCTCTTGAATCTGGCAAAGGCCTTGAACTGCCATCTGAGTCTGTGGAAGAAATTGCAGAACATGTTCCATCACTGAGCCCTGAAAGCAGACCCTTTGAATCTGGGGAAGGCCTTGAACTGCCATCTGAGCCCACGGGAGAAACTGAGGAACAGATGCCATTGTTGTGCCCTGAACACAGATCCCTTGAACTGCCGTCTGGGCCCATGGAAGAAATTGAAGGAAAGGCACCATCCCCGTGCCCTGAAAGCAGACCACTTGAATGTGGTGACAGCTTTGAACTGAGGTCCCAGTCTGTGGAAGAAATTGAAGGACCAGAGTTGTCTCTGACCTCTGAAAGCAAGCCCCTGGAGTCTGATGAAGAACTTGAACTGTGGTCTGAGGCTGTGAAAATAAATGAGGAACAGGTGCTGTCATCAAGCTCTGAAAGTAGGCCCCTTGTTTCTAGCGAAGACCTTGATCTGCCGTCCGAGTCCATGGAAGAAATTGAAGGACAGGCACCATTACTGAGTCCTGAAAGCCGACCCTTTGAATCTGGTGAAGGCTTTGAGCCAAGGTCTGAATTTTTGGAAAAAAAGGGAGATGAACTATCACTGTGGTATGCAAGTAGAATCTCAGAACCCTCTGAATGTGACAGACACAGATCCAAGTCTGTAGAAGAAGTAGAGGGGCCTTTAGTGAGATCTGAAAGTAGGGGTTCCAAGTCTCCCGGTCGCCACAAGTCTAGGTCCAAATCTGTGCAAAAAGCAGAGCGCAAGATGTCTTCACGGAGATATAGACGTAAACGCTCCAGATCTTCTGATCACCACAAATCTAGATCCAAATCTGCTGAAAAAACAGAGAGCAAAGAGTCTTCACAGAGGTCTAGAAGTAAACGCTCAAGGTCTTCTGAGCGCAGATCTCATAAACATGATACTGAATCGCGTTCTAGACGGAATCGGTCCAAATCGGCAACCCGTAAAAGGCTATCAAGATCTAAATCTAACCATCGGTCTCGGACTCGTTCATTATCCCGTTCAAGGCACAGAAAAAAGTCTCAATCAAGATCAGCGTCAAGAAAGAGGCAGTCTTTATCTAGAGAGAGGCGGAAAAGATCTCAGAGAAACAGATCAAGGTCTGCAGATAGGAGGAAGAGGAGGTCAAATTCAAGAGATCTCCGAGTCTCGCTCAGGTTACGGTCTAGGAGTCGATCGCCTCTTCGTTCAAAACGGTCTAGATCAAGGGGAAGAAGACGGAGCGCTAGTAGGTCACCGATTCGAGCAAGGAGATCAAGATCATCTGGGAGAAGAAGGGGTTACAGCAGATCACCTGATCGCCGAAGGTCCAGGTCCTCTGAAAGGTCACCTAAACGTCTTACAGACTTGGGTAAGTAATGTTCTTACTTTCCATCAGCTTCATAGCCCCATGCTATTATCCCATTAAAAACTTTATTTCTATTTCTGTTTGCAGTAGTAAATTTAAACTGGTCTTAAATTAACCCCCAAGCATTCATCCGGCATTTTTCCTAAGTAAAAGGCAATTACTCGAATTGACTTATTTTTAATAAGATTTTCAGTTGCAGTGAGTAAGTGTTTATAAAGAATTAAAAAGTATAATTTGATTCCAAGTCCAGTAGAAAAATGGAGAGGGGCAAAGCCTATTTTGATTGGTTCTGCCAACCCTGCTGTTTTGAGGAATGCAACTGAAGTTAAAAAAAATCTGGATGCAGAGATCTGTCTGTGTATTATAACTTTTTCAAGAGTTTTTTTGTAGGACTTTGAATTACCAGATGTCTCAAATGTTAGTCAATGAAGCTGAATCATATTGACAAACATAGAACTAAGTTTTAAGTGAACAAGTAGACTACTAAGAATCTCTTCCCTTCTCAGTTTGGAGCTTCCATACTTTCAGTGTCTAAAGTATTTCTTCAGGTGCACTAAAATGGTGGATTAATTTAAATTAAGGCAATTTAAATAATTGATTTGAAGCAGTTTTCCATATGCACTTCAGTTAGTTTCTGAAGGAAAATGCAAGTACATTCTCGTTGGTTAATATAACCTTTTAACCTTTGGAATGTACTGATTTACAACTCAACTGGACTTCTTACTATTTGGTGTAAATGGTTTTGTTAGCTAGGAAAGGTACATTACTATACCTCACTAAATATATTTATTGGATTTAATGTCACTTATTAAATATGGTAGAAAGTGATGAAAATGTACTGTATTTATTTGCATACTGCACACACCTTTTCTAATAAAAATTAATGGTCTAAAATCAGAGTCCATGCATTAAGTGAGAAAACTGATTTCTGTGCCAGAATGGAGGCATGGGAATGCTGGAATGGTTGCCAGGGCCTAAGCTCAGTTCGTAGCTGTATGGAAGAGTGTGGGGTTGGAATCCATTTGGCAAGGGTCACTTCCCTGTTCTTGCTGCTCCATAGCTAGGGTTTCAACCCTCTCACAGTCACTGCCAATTTGACTAGCTTTTGGTTGAGTATCAAGGGAAGGGAGAGCAATGGTTACAAGTGGCCTCTGTTCTTGCTCCATGCTAACATTCAGCTGTGGTGGAGCTATGCTGTGGCAGGTAAAATCTTGTTTGTATTTTTTCCTTTTATTTTGCCATCCCAACCAAGGTCTTATGGGTGATGGGAGGAGGTGTTGCTAACTTCATGCTTATGATTTGTCATCTAGCTACACTACAATTGTACCTGGAATTTAATTAAACATAGATGAAAGAATATAATTTTTGTTTGTTAAACAAAACAACATATATACAATTGTATTGAAATTTGGGAATATATCTAATTGGAGCTCATTTTGGGAAAACTGGTGAAACAGAAACAAGAGGCCTCCCAGGTGAGCTCATTGGATTATTCTAATGAGTTGTGTGATGATACTTTCTGGAGTCAGTGACTGCGTCCCCATCCTCTGATAATTTTACTGGTCTCTTGTACCCAGTAGCACAGCCATAAAAACTCCTCCAAAGGATCAGGCCAGCACATGATGCGCTGTGCCATATTTATAAAGTTTGACCTTAAAAGTTGGATGTTTTTCCCAATTCTTTCTACATATAGAAAACTGTGTAGTCTTATCACTCAAATGTTTTTGTAGAAGCTCATGGATTCACCATTTTTGTTTTTTCAGAAATACTTAAATAACTTAGAAGTAGAAGCCTTACAAACTGTATTGAATTCTGTTTTCATTTTCAGTGGGTTTATATTTAAAAAGAAAAAAAAAAGTTTAGTATTATTTTAAATTACAAAATAAAAGTAATCCATTTAAAATTCTTTTTGCTTTATTTTAAATGTATTTTTATCAATGCTACATAAATACCTGAACTTTCAATGTAAAAAGTATAAACAGGAAAAAGCTGGCACTTTGGGTGTCATGTTTCAGGCCCCCTGAAATATGTCAATGCCTAGATTTCTATGCCTAGAAATCATAAAGAATGGAAGAGGTGTGTGGGTGTGTAAATAGTTTAAAATACAGTATTCTGCTTTTCCTTCAGAATATTTTTTTCAGAATATTATTTTATTTTTGTTTGGTCTAATGGAAAAACTGCTTTAATGCTAAAAATCAGCTCTGTAATCAAAGCTTCACATTATATTTTAGAGTCTGTTTAAGTCCACTAATTAAATTTTAATCTTCTTATAGACAAGGCCCAGCTACTTGAAATAGCCAAAGCTAATGCAGCTGCCATGTGTGCTAAGGCTGGTGTCCCATTACCACCAAGCCTGATGCCTATTATAGCTCCAGCAAAGAAGGAAGACAAAGATACTCAGAAGTCAGCAAGGGACACTCTAAAAGAGCTCACTGAGGTAAGGAAGAATATTAAATACAAAAACAGTTCATTAGCTGGTGTTCTCAGTAACTAGATATTTGGTCAAACCTAATTGTATATACTCATTTTTCTCAGGGAAGTCTGCTTCTGCATGAAGGCTGCAGGATTAGGCCTCAACTGTTAAGTCTTTGTTTTCTACATATATAAATCTTGAACGTTTGATGTTTTTCTTCCTATAGCTGTCAGTTGCTTTATATATAGTTTCTTAAACTAAAAGCAGTTTTATACTACTTCAATTCTTTGGTCAAATTTTTAACCTTTTCTAAATATACTCGTCCTCTAGATCAGTGGTTCTCAACCTTTTTTGTACTGAGACCTATTGGTCAATATAGATGGCTCGTCCCGAGCCACACACCTCTGGCCCTGCCACTGCCTGACCCACAGTCCTTCCCCACCCCGCCAGGCCACGCTGGGGCCCCTCACTCCTGACCAGCAGTCCCCTGCTCCCCCCTGCTGGTGGGGGCCCCCAGCTGCCCCCATCCCGCTTAGACTGGAGTGTGAGCTGTGAGCGCTGCCCCGTCCCACCCTGAAGCAGTGAGTGTTGCACCCCTGCGTGTATGGGCACCAGAGATGTGGGCTTTTCTGCAGAAAATTTTCCACTGCTTTATTTTTCCATGGGAAATTTTTCCATTTCTAAAAATTCATTGTTTTATAACATTCATTAGTAACGATGAATGGATGCCAATACAATATTAGGCAAGCTTAGCAGTTTCAAAGTTGTAATTAATGTTTTTCAGGTGATTCTCCCTAGGAAGTGTGTGAGAGAGTACATGTATGTTTTATTGATTTGTAAACTGAAGGGTAAATACACTCACATAATAATCCAATCCAAAAATCAAGTTATGAATTCACCTAATTGGCTGTGCAAGTCAAATCAAAACCAGATCTAAAATTTTATTTCGTCTTAGATTGCAAGTGAAAGCAAAACTAAAACTGTGATTAATTTTTGTTTCACTTTCTGTTCAGCAAACATACAGAGCAATGTCTCATTTCTTTTCTTGAGTTGGGGAAATTGGAAGTGTTGACATAAGATCTGTTAGTTTTTTTAGTGCTTTTGGTTTGAAGTAGTCATCATAATGCCTAAGCAGAAAAAAATAGTGTGTGGCATCATTGTAGTGAAGTTCAAGCCACTGAAGGAAGGAAGAAAGTTGGTAGATGTAAATATTGCGGGCAGGAGTATGCTAACAACGCAACAAGAATGAAGAAACATTTAATAACATGTAGAAACTGTCCTGAAAGAGTTACAAGCCATATACAGAAATCTAATACAACCAAGTGGTGGAACAACATCATCTGAGAAAAGTCTACTTCAGGAATCCTATGTAAGTAAACAAATTAATATGTTAAACAACACAGTATAGACTAGCATCTATGCTGTTTTAAAACATTATAATTTTAAAAGTTGTTAATTCAACTCTGGACTATTATTTATTTATTTATGTAAAATATTTGTATCCTGCTTTTCTGCTTGCACTAAGCACCCAAAATGGCTTATGCTTAACACAATTTAAAAAAAAATTGCATTATAGATAAATAGTTAACTATTTCAACCCAGCAGAGTGAGCTTAGTCCTCTGGCCAGTGACAGAGGCCAGATTATGCTTCCCTTTGGCTCTGCAGTCCCAGGGCAACTGAGCAGCAAGTTGAGCAGCAGAGTGGTGTTCTTTCTGTCAGGGAGGGGGGAAGCAAGCTCCCTGCCGCTTCTCCTTCTCCTTGTGATGGATGAGGCCAAACTAGAATAGGCTGAAATAAAAATCTTTTCCCCCTTTTGTTGCAGGAACTTGGTAGCTCAAGTGAAATAGCAGATTTGCAAAGAATGGAAAATGAAAATGTTGAGCTGCCAGGTCTGGAGGAAGAAGCAGCAGGATCCTCACTTTCAAGATCCCTGTCACCAGATACGCGATCCACCATGAGTAGCTGTTCAAGACAGTCAAGCTTTGTATCAAGCTTTGTGGACAAAATGTCAAAAGAAGATCAAGAAAAAGCAGATGAGACATTAGCTCGAGCTATATTTGCGAGTGGTACACCTCTTTCCATAACTGAAAATCAATACTGGAAGGAACATTACAAACTAATTTGCCCATCATATACGTTACCATCATGTTATCACTTATCACATTGTCTCTTAGATAGAGAGTACGACAGAGTTCAAACAATGAATATTCAAAGGTTTGGTCAAGCAGAATCACTGACTCTGATGTCAGATGGATGGACTGATATACACGGAAACCCTTTATTGAACATTATGTTAGCAACACCAGAACCAGTATTCCTGAAAGCAATTGCTACTAAATCATCTCCTCATACAAGTGAATACATAGCCAAATTACTGAGTGAAGAGATTGAAAGTGCAGGTCCCTCCAAGGTACAAGCCCTTGTAACTGATAATGCGAGTAACATGAAAGCTGCATGGCAAATATTAAAGTCCAAGTATCCTCATTTAATAATATTTGGCTGTCTTGCTCATGGGTTGAATCTTCTGGCAAAGGACATAGTAAGTGTGAATACAATGAAGACAATACTGGCAAACTGCAAATCGATTGTGAAGGTATTCAACAATCATCATGTTGCTAATCAGACTTTAAAGAAATTACAGAAAGAGAAGCAGGGGAAGGAAAGTGCACTTCTATTGCCAGGAGAAACTAGATGGGGCTCAGCTACAAAGTGTTTACAAAGTTTGCTGCGCACAAAGAACTGTTTGCAGTGTGCTTCAGTAGATGACACAGTATCCCAGATTATTCCCATGAGCATTCGGAAGCAGATTCTCGACAACGACGTGTTCTGGGTTCGAGTTCAAGGAGCATTCAATTTGCTACTGCCAGTTTCAGTGGCTATCAAGAAACTTGAAGGAGAAACACTAAGCCTTTCAAATATTCCAGAGATATTCAGACAACTGAATAAAAACCTAATTGAGCTATTGCCTTCTTCACCTCTATCCAAAAAAGAAGTAGTAGTAGTAAGACAAATGTTTACTAAGAGATCTGAGTTTTGCTCTCATCCTGTTCATCTGGCAGCAAACCTTTTGGATCCTCAACACAGAGGACAACATTTATCAGAAGTTGAATTATCTATTGCTCTCGATACAATTATGGAAGTAGCTAAGAATATCCCCAGCGTGGACGAAATAGCCGTGATGACAGACATTGCTGAGTACCGCGCAAAAGAAAAACTTTGGAGCAAAGACATCATTTGGCGGGCAGCAGAGAATATATCTCCTCTCACATGGTGGAAGGGATACTGTAACACCCGACCGTTGTCCAGGATTGCTCTAAGGATCCTAAGCATTCCACCAACAGCAGCTGCTTGTGAACGGAACTGGAAGGCAAAAAAGAGGAATAGACTAACACATGAACGCACCGCTAAGCTTGTTTCCATTTCTCAAAATCTCTTGCTTTTGGAGAATCAGTCAGAAGAACAATTAGTGAAGAAGATGCAGTGTGATGATGATAAGCTGCCCGTGCCCATAGACTCATTGGTAAAACCATCCTTTAGTGAAAGAGAATGTGGTTCAAGTAGTTCTGAATCAGATTTGTCTCAGTCTGATTCCGAAATGGAACTAACAAGTAGTGCAAGTGATTCTACAGATAGCGACAGTGAAACTAGAGGTGCTGCGATGACTTCAGTGGAAGAGAGTTAAACTCTGTTGAAGTAGATGAGTGGGCAACCATGGCATGTCATGCACAGTTCTTTGGGTGTGCTAAAATTAGTGTCAACAGTTTTCAGTGCCTTCATTTTTTTTCCCCTAAATTTAAACAAGCATGTAAGGGAAGTACATGCTACTGTGTATTGTCTTTAGATTTTTACAGGTATTCCAATAAAATAATTTCTTTCCACATAAAGCTTTGAATTTATTTGAATATAACATTTAAACCACGTTAAGTGTGCTGTATTGAATTTTTTTCCTAATCAAATATTTCTGTTCAAATATTTGTGGCTATTGGGACATAAAATTAACATGGGGGTACTTATTTTAGTTTTGTTTACTAAATATAAGTCCAATAAACCTGCTAAATCAGATCTCACTCTGTTTAGGGCATTGGAAAATTTTCCGGAAAACCCACATCTCTGATAGGCACCAGTCCAGGCACGCAACACCCTGCCACGAAGGACTACCCCACCCCTCTCCACCGCTGAAGGGCCAGGCGCCTTCCCCCTTTGCAAATATTTTTGTGACCCACTGGTTGAGAAGCACTGCTCTAGATTTTGATGGAACTTTTATACATATGTTTACGGACATAATTTGCTCATTAAATTTGACTCATCAATTCCAGTGTAATAAGCTTTTGTTTTCACATCATAAAAAAACAAACAAACTTTCCGCCTGGTTTCTTGTGTTATAAAGAACTTCATGTGGTATGATATACATGACAAAATATTGCTGGAAGATCATTGAGCACATCTACACCCAAAATTCTTTACTGCCAGTAGTTAGTCTCTCTCTGCCAAGTTGAATGAAACTTGGTTGAAGGTATACTTGGACTTTCCTGTTCCTTCAGCTGCCTGCCATGGTCCAGCCAGCAGCTGACACTAACAGGATACACTTCAAGTTCTGGCAGTGCAGCTGCTGTAGTAGGTACGGGTGCTTTGGCAGCCTGGCTCAACACAGGCATGTGTAGGTATTATTGCTGTCCAGTTTCTGATTTCTGGGATTTCTTTAGCTTTCACATTTGCATGGGGGTGAGGGAGGAACTGGGTAGGAGAAGAAACCTATTGGTGATGCTGTTTGACACTTTAAAAATTCACAGCCCTGGGACTTAAGCTTGCTTGTAGAATTAAATTTAAAAACTTGTGAATTTAGAATTAATTAACACTTCAGCATCTTTTACAAGTGTGTTGATTCCTTCCCCCACCCTCCCCCCATGACACAGTAGAAATGCAGGGTACTATCTTCCTAATGTGCTTCAGCCTTCACTTGGAGGGACCTGATACAGAAATAGTAGCAGTTTCCAGGTCTGATCAGTATTTGGTTTCTTCTAAGACTGCCATTCCAGCACAGCAATCAAATTGTAAATGATTTATGCTTTTGACTGATGTGGAACTGAACCAGTGACTTGTGTTATGGAATCATTCACATAGAAGTTTTCCCAAGTTTGTTGTAATGTATTAGTGAAGCATTGTCACACAGAAATACCCATATTATTGTTATTGTTGTTATTATTCCTGTCACTGCAGCAAGACATCATGTATTGTTTTGGTTCACCCTGTCATTTTTATTATTCTTAAAATTTGTTTCAAATCAATATCATTCTAGATACCTTGGAGAAAATGTAAACAAATAGCTCAAGCAGATATATAAGTTGATAAAGATTTTTTGTGGTTAAATGCGACTGTCAGTTTTTGGGGAAAATGTCTTTTCTCTCATAGAGCAGCCAGACTAATCCCGCCTTTCCAAAGGTATCTTTAAATTATTACTTGAAAGAGAAACAACTTGGGCTGTCATGTAGACTTGTTGCAGCTACTTTCCCATTTTGGGCCCAGACAAAAAATGGTCAAATTGCAGTATGTTAAAAGTGGTCAAAGGTTTACTGTGATGCAGCTGATGCACAGTAACTTTGTGATTACATCTTTATCCTGTCATGAGTGAAAGTTAAGTCATGAAATTTCTCTCTCTCATATTCAGGGGTAAACTGCCACAGTTTAACCACAAGGTAGAGTAGGCAGATGCACAGTTACTGTCAACTATATTGTGGCAAGCATCTTCTCACTGTTAACCTGTTTCAGATCATTTGCCCATGCCTTTATTTTACATTTTGAACGAGACTAGCATTGAATGAAAAATTAGGAGTCTTCTGTTCAGTTTTCTTCCTAGCAGCTGACTGTTTCAGAAAAGTCCCAGTCTCATTGAAGCTTTTGCTTTGGCAAAATCTCTGTACTATTGATGAAAACCAGTAACTGACTATAGGCTTTGGGTTGTTCCTTTTCCAGTTACCTTGTGTCTGTGTTCTTTTTAGGCTAACTAAATAAATGAGTTGCTGATGTTGCTGATTGTTTAAGATTTAACTATGGTGCCCAAAGATCCTGTAAAGGACAGCAACCCAACTATGATAGTTACCATGCAATTACCTACAGATACAATCCCTCTTGAAGAGTTTACAGCTTAATTCCTGTATTCTACAACTTACTCCAGACAGCTTGTTTGATTATAGTAGGGCTCTGGATGGCTATATGAATTTATTTGGAACAAGTTTCAGGATCAGCACCAAACTAAGATGGGCGTGCTTCAATAAATGTGCGCTGTGTAGAAAGGTGTTATTAGCATAGCATTTTACTTAAGAGTTCTCTAAATCAGTGGTTCCCAACCTCTTTTTTACTGCAGTGCAGCGGGAGCGAGACAGGGCATGCAGAGCCGGCTGCCTCCCTCCTGGGGCTCCCCCACCACCTGGCTTTAACCCTGGAAGCTCAGCTGTGACTTGGGAAGCTGCTCACCTGGCAGAGGGGGATCTGTGTCGGGGGTTTGTGCTACGGCAGCCAGTGGTTGGGAGCCTGTGCTCTAAATCATCTGCCCTACCCTTTATAATTCTTTTATTTTGGATTATGTTGGCGAATTTGTTAAATCTTTTTAAATATTTTTGTTGAAAAATCTGTTTTTCTACAAAAATAGAACCTTTCCCTGTTCCAATGTTCAGACTGGTTAAGAGCTGCTTTTTGTTTCCTTCAGAAATGCAAAAAGATTGCACAGAGCACGGATGATGTGATAGTGAACAAACCTCATGTTTCTGATGAAGAGGAGGAAGAGCGCCCATTTTATAATCATCCCTTTAAACTCAATGAACCCAAGCCCATTTTTTTCAACTTAAGTGTAAGTACTCTTACCTATTAAAGAAAACAAATTTTGATTTTGTTTCTTGGCAAAGTAGTGCAGATAATTATGCAGAAACAAAATTCACTGACAAGTAATACTTATCTATTTTATTACAAAATATTTCTTACTATTTTTATCTTAAAGTGGACTGGCCTATGGAGTTACATTAATTAAAAAAAATTGGGAATACTTGCTTGAATGTTGACATGAGACAGATTTAAAATCCAGTAAAATCTGGCCATGCTTTTAGCAAATGATTTTATATACATCTATCTATCTATCTATCTATCTATCTATCTATATAGATACATAGAGATAGATAGATAGATAGAGATAGAGATTGTCTGTCTGTCTGTCTGTCTGTCTGTCTGTCATATAAAAAATATGATCTCTTGCTATATAATGTGAGATCTGGTTAATTAAAACTGATATATTTTAAACATTGACTTTTGTTTGTATAACTAATACTTTTAAGAGATCAGAACTGACATTTTTTTAAATCCTATTTTTTCATAATTTATATGGTTGTATTACTTTTTTCTACATATTCAGCTTAGATATGGAGAATAGAGTAGTCTATCTTACTATTGATAAATGTTAGCAAGATGTTGTAAATGCTGCTGGAAAATATTCCTCTACAAGCACCGTGTTTCACTGTATTTTTTTTAAATGTACAAAAATGTATTTACAATTGCCCAAATTTGGAGCCTGAATTTAGCTGTCAGTATGACTTGACAGTTCTTTTATATCTGGTACTGCAATAGGTCTTCATCTCTAATTTTTGAATTGGAGGCGGGTGGGTAGTGTGGGGAGAAGCACCATCAGTCATGGAGTCAGTCAGCAAAGAATTAAGTGCTGTTTTTTCTGGGCATTTAGCATTGGCTGTTACTAACTTTGCCAGGCACTAACTACTTTCACAGATAGTTTTCATGCAGCCTGTCTACTTCAAGCTGACTTACATTGGAAAATTTCAGTTGATTCTGAGCATGTGGCTAGGGGGAAAACATTGTTTTGCACATGATATATTTTTTTTAAACTTAGGAAATTTCTTTGAACAGCTTTAGTGTCCACATTGTTTGAAGCAGGGATTGGAATTTGGCTGGATATGGCCTCTGTGTCAGGGATATGCATTATTGTCCTTATCCAAATCTATCTCAATTTTGGAAAGTACAAATCTATTAGTGGTGCACTGCTTATTGGACCGGTAGTGATAAAAGGGAAATATACATTATTGGCTATCAGCTTTTTTTGGCCATTATAGCTGGTAATGTTCCATGATAAATTTAAGTAATGCCTTCTGGCTAGGGATCCTGGATGCCTGAGTTCCCTCTTGCCTGTGGGGCCCGGGCCCCTGGATGCCTGGGTTCCCTTGGGAAATGGCGGGTTTCTATTTGCAGGCGTCATTCTGGCTTGCAAGGGGTACTGCTTGGGACTGCCGGAGCGAGATGCAGGGGATTCTGCATACATGTGCATAGCCACACACATGCACATGGCTAGGAAAACAGCCGGGTAGTGTGGAGAGCAGCTCCCTGAAGCTTAGTCTATGCAGGGGGGAAAGGGCGTGGGGGGGTGGGGGGGGCAGATTGAGGCCCCCACAGTAGAGGCTGAGGGTGCGGCAGGGGCTGGGGGTGCTGCCCAGCCAGGGGGGTGTATGGGACCTGAGGCAGGGAGCATGACAGAGCCACAAGAGACTTGTCAGGAGGTGTGGGGAGGGCAGCTCCCTGCCCTTGAGCATATCTGCTGGGTGAGACATGGGGAGGACCTTCCCCCCTCCCCCATATTTGTTCACAGAGTAGATGTGGGCTACTTGCTGTGGGTTGGGGCTCTCCGTTCTGCTGCCATTCCCTCGGAAGCCCTGTGCCGGCTGCGTGCCCCCTGTCAGTGGGGGGCACTGAGTTGTACTTTCTGCTGCTGGGCAGGGCACTGAGTTGTACTTTCTGCTGCTGGGCAGGTAGGGGACGCACGGCTGGTGCGTGGCACCTGGGGCAAAGGTAGCAGAGTGGAGAGCCCTGAGGCCACAGTGGGCAGCCCTCTTTCTCCCTTGCCCTGCTTGTCTCTGGTCTTCTCCAGCTGTTGGGGGGATGAGGGGTATGCTTTAATTAGAGCAGCTCTGAGAGCCATTCTAATTAAAGTGCCGCAGTGTCTTGTCTCAGTAGTCCTGCACTTAAAAATGGTCAAGGTGTGGTGCTTGAATTAAAACTCATTCGATGAGGTTTAGTTCAAGCACCTCCACTTCCATTTTTAAGTGCTGGGACACTGACGCATGTGATGCCGGAGGCTGCTGGAGTGCACCAAAAAAAAGGTTTATTTATGTCAGTATGTTTTAAAGCACTGAGATAAATAAACCTTTTTTTTTTTTTTTTTTTTTTTTGGCATGCTCCAGCAGCCTTCTGTGTCACATGCACAAATCGATTATCAGATTGGTATTGGCCAATGTGGCTGGTTAATAATTGGCTATCAGTATCGGCCAGGAAAATCTGTATCGGTGCACCCCCAAAATCTATATTTTTATAAAGTAGATATATAACAACATATATTATAATGTAAATAGCATATGGCTTTATACTTCATAAGACTCTGGGAAATTTGAGACTCCTGGCACCCTGGGGTGGGGGCACTGTAGGCTTTTGACTGTGTAGAGTTTTTTGTTTGCCACAAACCTGACCACATCTGTTACATTCTTTAACCTTTACCTTTCTCAGTCCTGTGCCTGATGCTTCTCTCAGCATATTCCTTGCCTCCCAAGTCTTTCATCCCAGTCTCCTTGTCCAGACGGTTCTAGTCTCCCCCTGCAGTCTCGCTGTCTGTTTGTCTCTTGTTGCATAATTTTCTTTCAATCCCATTCTTCCCCGGACCTTCTCCTTGCTTTATTATTTTTGTCAGGCCGACTTAGTTCTCCCCTTTTCACTGTAGTGCCTTGTCAGTTCTGTTTGCTGCCTTCCCTTTCCCTCTCCGGTCATTTCCTAGGCACACACGCCCATGTCCAGCCAGATGTAGCCTCCTTTCCCCTAGCTTAGTTTCGGTTTTGTCACTTTTTTCTAATGTGTTATGAGGCTCTGAAGCTACAGCTTCACAGAACTATTTGCATCTTCCTTCAAAATAAGGTGTTTGCATTGGTCTGATCAGGAGAGCAGTTATAATAATTTTCATCCATTTAACACCTCTACTCCCAGGAATTCTAAAACCTTTATGAAGTTATTGGGAGGAGAGGGCAGTAGATCTGCCCATATGCCACTAAACATGTGAAACAAGGAGTTAGTCTCTGAATTTTCGAAGTCTTTTGTTTTCTTTCTGTAGGGATGAATGGGGTAGTTATGTAGAATGTCTGTTTCTTACAGACCTCTAAATTTGATACAAAAGAGAAGTTTGAAAGTGTGCTTGGAAGCTCAGCATTTATAAAATGTAATAATGCCTGTACCATAGATGAATTGGAGGGGGGACTCTGGAGTAGCACATGTTCCCCCCAGGTTTCTGCGCTAATAGTGAGGTGTGCGGCTGCAGCCCAGCCAGAGTCAAGATCTTCCAGTATCAGGGGGTGCTGGTGGCACAATTTCTGCAACAATAGCAGGGTGCAGGGATGCAGTCCAGCTGGAGCTGGGGCCTGGCAGCAGTGAGGGTGGCACCGCAGAGTTGTACCCCACCACTGTCAGTACTTACTTATGCATTGTCTGTGGTCTGTACGAAACACAGCACAGCATCGCATCTTAATTATTACATTCGATTTTTCTTTCAGAAGACTCCTGCCATTAAACCAGCACCAACACCAAAAAATCAGGTCACTTTGACAAAGGAGTATCCTGTCTCATCTGGGTCTCAACACAGAAAAAAAGAAGCGGATAGTGTCTATGGAGAATGGGTTCCAGTTGAGAAAGGAAAAGAAGAAAGCAAGGATGATGTTTTCCCGAAACTACCCCCTGGACAGGTAGGAAAGGAAAATAGCTTTTTATTTTACATTTAAGAAAGCTTTCAAAGGCCTAATCTGGGATCTAGGTGTAACGTTTGTAAAGGAATTGTTCATGGTATTTGCCCTTTTAATGACTAAATCAGGTAACAAGTTGCCCTTTTGGAGGTAGTAGCAATGCCCATAAGAGAGCATTGTTAATGAAAGCTGCGTGTAATCAGCCATTGCAGTTCCTTTTCTCCTCCAGACTCCTAGATTTTGCAGGATTTAACTTCCCTTAGAAATTAAAACTGTCCATCACAGTGCTGTCCAGCTTCAAAGTAGCCAGGAGCCACATGTCCCACAGGCTGCCAAACACAGGGGCAGTATTAGCAGGGGCCACAGGCACCCGTCTTCATGTCCCACTTATGTACTTGTGCACACGTGTGTGGGTGGGTGGACACTCCCTTACCTTGCTGCATTGCTGGTACATTGGGTGCTCCCCCATGTGGTGCAGAACCCTACCTTACCTTTAGGTCCCTGCAGGCTGTCCTGTGGCATTGCTGCATGGGCACTCTGGGCTGCCGGCACCACAGACTGTGCTATGCCATGTCATGTTCTTTGGTACCATGGGTGGGGGCATGCAGCAGAAACCAGAGGAAGGGGGAGCCCTGAGACACTCTCTTCCCCTCCCCCTCCAGCTACTGCTGCAGCCAGAGTAATAGGGCAGTGGTGGCTGTGTGGGAGCCCAGGGACTGCCTGTTAATCCCTCGTGGGCCACACGTGTCCTGTGGGTTGCCACTTGGACAGCCCTACTCTATCATTTCCAGCTTCACAGATGCATGCTACCAAGTTCATTATCTTGAATTGGAGAACCTGAAATCTAAAACAGTAGTTCTAACATTTGGTAAGCTATTTGTAACAGTTGCATTGACTTGAAATGCAAGTAGTTTTTAATACTGCATCAACACTGAATACTTCTGCTCATTTTTTAGTTTTACAGCTATATTTCCCTATTGCTTTGTGAAGGATGACAGAGCATGAAGATGAAATTCTTTATTTTTTGATTAGTCAAAAAAACACATTTTTAGTTTATGCATTTTTAGTTGAAGCAAATTTCGTTTCTTGTAATAGTATCAAGTACATCAAACATTTCTTCTTCCTTGATGATATCCCTTCATTCCACCTAAGAGAGAATGGCTCCAATGGCTAGCAAAACAAAAGCACAGATTTTGAATTCACGTTGATACAGAAGCATCCTTTGAGCAATTAAGTGCATATTGTGTTTGAAGGGGTGTAGGTTGTAGCCGTGTTCGTCTAAGGACATAGGCAGACAAGGTTCCTTGGGTGAATCTGATATCTTTTATTAGACCAACCCAAATGGTTGGAGAATAGTTATTAAGCAAGATTTCAGGTTCAAAAACCCTTCGTCAGGCTAAGGAAGTTTCAGCAGTTGGTGTGTGCTCTTCCTGGATGGAATGAAAAGTAAAGAAGCCAACGGCTGGGCTGGTATGCATGCAAAACAGGTAGTCAGTGAAAATGTAGATTGAGGAGTCAATGGGTGAGAGACAGGTGTGGGGGGGAAGAGAGAGAGAGAGAAGGGGGATGAAAGTGGAGAGATACCCGGGAAGTCAGATGTCAGGCAGGTTATAATGTGTCGTAAATCCAATGTCTATATTTATTCCATGATTTTTAGTATCCAGGAGGTTGATGAAGTGGA